CTCCCCTCGAGCTCGAGGGGACCTTGCCTTGATTATCGTCTCGGGAAAAGCCACCATAGTACGGATACCCAGACATTGTTTGGACAGAGTAGAGAACTCACCAGAAAAGTGAATTGAGAAAGTGACGAGAACGGGGAGAGCTCGAGCAAACAAGGCGAAAGCACGACCTCGAAACTAAAAGCAAGGCAAGTTGGCATAAAGAAAGTGAGGCCTGGGGCCCCCCTATTATAGATCGGTCTTCACTACACCTATTGATTTCATGCAAATAAGTGTCAATGCAAATATGTAGAGTGTAAAATGGTCCAATATAAATTGCAAAGTTGGGTTAGTTTTGCATTGACAAGTTTACCTTCTTACCAAACAGACTTTTAGTTGTAATGGATGCTGATGGAGGGTGATTTGATCCGACCTCCTAACTAAGGGACACGTGGATATGACTCGACGTAAGTGACAGCTTGGCTGCAACTCGGCGTAATGAGCTCGCTAAAACCCCAACAGAACAACTCGCCACAAGAAAGCTCGCTACAGCCCGCCACAGAACGGCTTGCTGCAAGGCAGCTCACTATTGGAGCTCGCTACGAAGGAGTTCGCTACAAGGGAGCTCGCTATTGAGTAACCTGGAGTCTTTGGGAAACTTCTTATCCGAAAAGACCGTGCTTGTCAGACTGCTCCTACGTCTCTTGTCCGGCAGCGTAACACCTGCCAGTCTAGAGGACTGCGCCCACGTCTCATGACAGGCGGCGTTGTGCACGACAACTCTGCATAACGTCTCTCAGCTGACAGGACCGTACCCTGCGACGGATACCTACACCAATCGAATCAGCCTGGCGAATAACGGCTGTAGCAGAGAATCAGAGGCGGTTACACCCGATTTGATAGAGCGTTAATATATAAGGGCTCCGACCCCCAAGGAAAAAAGGGTAATTGAATTTTTTGTATTCGAAAAGTGCGCATCTCCACTCTTAGCATTTATTTCTTTCTTTGCAATTCTCTAATCTCTCCACCGAGTCCTAACTTAAGCATCGGAGTGTTCCCGCCGGGCGAGCTCCTCGGGAATCCTTCACCTTCTTCTCCTTCTCAGGTGCCATCYGTCACCAGCTAGGAGCGAGGTCACTGCTAGATAGGAGTGACCAGATCGCGCTACATTAGATGCAAACACGAATTCCAATAAAACATATGCTTTTTTTTTATCAAAAGCCCACTTGAATGCAAATTTACTTATTTTTTATTGATGTACTTTTACATCTTATTATCAACATAAATATACATTGGTCTATCATTTATCAATGCATAAATGTAATGTTGCCAAACACAGGTAAAAGTAAACCAGAGTGCAAATTTACCCTGAATCGGGATTTACACTCCATTTGCATCGTTTCCGAACGCAGCCTTAAGAGATATACATTAAATCATGAATAAAAAATTCTCATATTTTAGCCCAAAATAAGTTAGAATAACAATACAAAATAATATTGGATAAAAATAAAACACCAATACRTAAATTACTAATAAATATAAAATTACATATATTAACATATACATAAAAAATTATAGGATGAAATGCATAAAAGAATTTATAAAATAATAATATTATTATATACTAATCACTATGCCGAATTCTACCACAAAAAAAGCAATAGTCATATACTAATCCACGGTATAAAACCGTTGACAAGATTTTCATGTGGGAACGGTCCCATTCATGATATTTTGTGGATGGTTCCCATCTACAGTAATTGAATGCTCCCAATATTCGGTCCCATCCACAAGATGAACACAAATGAATACTATCTTAAACCTTAGACTTGGACTTAAGACAGGTTGRTTAAGTTTGAAAGAATTTAAAACATGTACAAAGAATTTAAGACATGTACAATTGAGAGAAATCCACAATAAAAACAAGAAAACTATCCCAAGAGCCAACACCTACACCAAGGCGGCATTAAAAGAAAAAGAACTCTCATTCCCACCCATGCAGGGCAAAGACCCATTAAAAAACAACCTTTCACACTCTCGTTGCACCTTAAAGAGCTAGGGATAAAATGCAAAGAAGTAGCCCAAATCATATTAGATTCAGGGAATTCATCCTTTTTCTTTCATTCCATAACTTCCTCTGTAAATCCGATAAAACCTGCAGGTGCGTCTGCTAATTCTTTGGATGATGCCCAACAGTCCAACACCAAGCATGCAACGGTATCTCATGCTCACTCACCCAATACTTTCAATACGAGATCGGCTTCTATGCCCACACCGTTCCAACCATCTTTTGCAGTTTTGCATTGGGAATATCTTCCCATGAAATAAAACATATGGTAAATTTCTTAAACTACCCTAATGGTTTAGCTAATTGACTAAGTGTACCCTTACTGTTTGAAAATTGACTAACATTACCCCTACTGTTTCTCACAATTGACTAACTCTACCCTTATCATTAACATCTGTTAATATTCCGTTAAAATCCGTACGCACGTGACATCATGTGACATTTAAAATTTTTAAAACCCAAAAYTACCCTTGTCTCCTTCCTCTTTACCCAACACACCCTTCATCCTCCGACCTCTCTCTTTTCCCTTTATCTTCCTCCCATAGTCTCCGTCAACACCAGATCACTAGAGAAAAATAAATCGTATCCGCACCATATGCACTGGAGAAAGCCATAGTCTCAGACATTAAACATTGGCTTTGTCCGCTGGGTGTGGTTTTCCCGCTTTTCCATGCTAAAGTAGACTAGAAGGAAGAGTGAAGGCTGTGCTTGCACTTCTCAAGTCTTCTCATTCCTCCCTTGTTTCCATCTACTCGTAAGTAATSTAATCCTTCATCATGGAAAGGCTTCGATATCTGCAAATTGTTTGTTCTGGAGCTTAATAAGAAACTACCCAAGATTTATTTGTTCGTTCATTTATTTTTTAAATACGGATCCCTATTTCAGGATATAGCTGCATCGATCGATTTATTGAGGCCTTTGTTGCCACCGAACCCTTACCTTCGCAGCTTCAAAGTTGATTGTAGCCAACTCAATGCTTCCTCTATCAAGCATTTGGTCCGGCCTTATGTGAATGAACTTTGCCTTCATAATTGCCAAGATGTTAGCGAAAAGCTGCTCTCGGAGGTTGGACGTCCATGTAATTTCATCCAGCAGCGAGAGTTATAGGGTTGTCTTAGACTTAGAGCGCTGAATTTTTTAGGCTGCATGGTAGTTTAGGCATTTTGCATGGGTTTTGACGGAAGTTAACGGTGAGAATGGAGTTAGTCAATTGTGAGAAATATTTGGGGTAGCCTCAGTCAATTTTCAAATAGTAAGGGTATAGTTAGTCAATCAAGTAAACCATAAGGGTAGTTTAAGAAATTTATCCTAAAACATATTAGTACAAAGATATTCTCAATTCAAAACTGTAAAGGCTGATCAAACGGGCTTTTCCCTCACAGAAGCTAAACTCTTTCAATACCCATTTGATCCAGAAGAGTTGGGATTACCTGCCAATAAAGGACGTTCCAACACCCTATTAACATGATTTAACACTGCACATCTCATACATGTGGGGAGGGTATTAGAATGTCTTTTGTTGGCAGGTGATCTAGATACGATCCAAAAACCTAGTTGATTTATAATGGGAAACCAATCCAAAACCCTGAGAGATTAGTTTCTAAAACGGTAAGAACCATCAGCACAACCATGTCGGATTTGGGGATGGAAAGAAATTGACCCCTGAAAGGCAGACCACAGGTATCGGGCCTATAGCTGACGATATATCTTCCTTGATACATAACCTCTCATAAAGACATGCTCTACGCCTCCACCACCGCTTTCCCATCAAACTAATGTTATTTTCTCCATTCACAACTTTTACACTTAGCGGATGTTTGGTTCGAAGGAAAAGTAGGGAAATCTTTACAAACCTTATATAAATTCTGCTGTCAATTTCTTCCTTTCTCTACCTTTTTCTTCAAACCAAACATAACTTTATAGTTCCCATTTTTGTTTCATTCAAATAATTATAACATCCTTGGGTCTTTTTAATAACTAATACCTCGTTTCAGCACAAAACTATTGTAGCTTGTTAATAGAATAAATGGAATTAAGTTAGAAATACATCACCTTATCAAATTGCCTTTGATAATTCAAAAATATATTTATATAATTAAATACAATTTTATCATCTCAAAATATTATTTTTTTCTAAACCTATTTCAACTTTTAATTCCTACACAAATGATGAGGATATTTTGTTCATATGGCATAATGGAAATGTCTTTTGTATTGTTGATAAATAGTTACTAAAACATGGCGAATAAATGGAATAAGCACTTTAGCCCTAAGATTTGACAAAATGCCCAATAACTAATTTTGATGGTTCCATAATTTCTTTTGAAATCGATTATTGATATTCTGCTTCTTTTTTCTGGGTCTTTTGATAACAAGTGAAGATGCTGAACTCAAAACTTATTTATTGCTTTGTCGTTGAGTGAATAAGTTTTTAAGGAGGTTATGGGCTCCTTAATCGTTTATAAGCTTAAAGATTTTGTTATTTAATTAATTATCAACTAAAAGAAAAAGCAATAAGTATTTCAGTTCAGCAACTTCAGCAATTATCAAAAAGCCTCAATACGAGATCATGCCACAAAAAACTAGAAACCAAAAATTAATTCAAGGTTTTTAAAATCGAATCGGACAACGAACTGGTAAGGGGTTCAGTTTCCAAGTCGAATGGTCCGACTGTTCAAACTGAATGGACGGTCCGTTCTGACAAAAATAAAAAACGGCCAAACCGTTGAACGGTTCAAACAGTTCAACTACCCGAATTGATGGTTTGCTGACCAAATTAACGGTTTTTGGCAAAATAATAGTTCTGAAGTAAAATGGAATTCCCGGCTTTTCTGGTCCGATTTTGAAAACCATGATTAATTCTATGTAGTGGGTGGAGAACCCACTCTTGGAGTGAAAAAAAAAAGAAATAAACTATTGATGAAGAAGATGATGGTTGATAAGCTGCTAGAAAGTGTGAAGAAATCAATCGTTCTCACAAACTTTTGTAACTACTAGAGCCAAATGTTGTTTTGTCTGATGATCAGAAAACATGTCTGGATGGATCAAAACAGGACCAATGAACAAAGAAAAAGAAAGTAGAGTGAAGATCATTTCCAATCTTGTGGAGTTGGAAAGCACAGCTTAAATGCAGACATGGTAGCACTTTTCTTGGTTATATCAGAGAGCCCTTTTGCACATGGACTTTATTCTATCTTTATTAGCTGCTGCATGGTGTGTTTCTGTCTTGTTTTCTACACATAGCGTTTCAGGTATTCATCCATTCTGGTGTAGTTGACTTCCGGATACAGTTTTGAAGCTTCTTCTTCTTCTCCTATATCAAAGTTTGTTAAGCAACCTTCGTAGAAGATTTGGTAGAAATGCCCCACTCCCACTTGACTTGCATAGTCTAAATCTGAAATTAATCAAACAAATAATCAGGCACTTTTCTTTGCTCCATTCCTATTAGGTTTTCTTCTTCATCTTTAATTTCATAAACAGCAGAAGTTTTGTTCATCTCTTGTCATGTCTTATTTGTTTGTCTTTTTCCATTTGTGGGTTAAATCATGGTTGGCAATAAGTTCACTCCCCCGAGGGTCCAGTAGGAGGATTCACATGAAACCAACCACCATTTTCCCCCCTTTTGATAGACCAAACCAACTATCCTTGTTTGTTTATTTATTAGGGGTGCAGCTCAGGTTGGCCCGAGTTAGCATTCTACACTACCACTGCTTCAGGTCAGGCCCATTATAAAATTTTGATAAAAGCCCAACTCGAGCCCACCCAAGTTGCTCCTCCTATGGTTAACACCCCCACCCATATTCATTGGCTCAACCCAATAGAGGTTGGTTCAAACCGGTTCCACAAGTTCATATGTTTCACAATCACAAATACTCAATGCCACTGTGGGCTTATCTATTTCAAGTTTGGCCCCTTTACCTTTCATGGAAGCTAGAAAATCTTCTTCAGATATGCTGGACTTGCTTAGTTCTTTGCCAATTAGTTTCTCCCAAACTCCAATCAACTCTCTATGCGAGAGGATGTTTTCTGGTGGCCTGATGTAGATTGTCTTGTTCAGTGTACGTGGGTCGTCTACAGTTTTAATGGTGTATGTTGCTATGTCATCTTCATCTACATAAATTGCTGAAGCAAATAACAAGAACAATTAACTAACTAGCTTTACACACTGTTGAACCTTTTTCATATGTATGTATATATATATATATATATATATATATACCTTTTACATTGTTATTTCCATAGAGGTGTATATTTTCCTTAGGAGGAATGAGTGTTCCAAGCTGCGATAGGCTCCCTGCAAAGTAACCAGCAAAGCAATTTGCAGAGATATAGGTGAAGGGAATCCCAGCTTCCTCAATTGCCTTTCTCACTGCCATCTTCTCATCAAATGAAACTCTTCCTGGCTCAATTGCATGTCCCATCCGTGCCGGATCAATGCCAAATTCTGATGGAAAAAACCGCTGCAAGATTTGTTTTTCATCTGTAAGTACTTTTCATAAGGCTCAGTTTGGAAAGAGTTTAAATACAAATATGTATGGTACAAATGGATACAAAATGTAAGGTTTTGCACTTTATATATTTGCATTTGTACTCCTTCCAAACTGAGCCTAACTAGTGTAAAATCAATGGTGCAAGTAGGGTGATAGTCTGGTAGATTATAGGAACCGGCTCCAAATCTGAGAGAAGGGCAATTGACTCGTACTAGAGAAGAGATAGCATAGCTGCAGTAGATACGTATCTAGCATTAACAGAGTAGCAAAAGGCAGAATCGAGGCCATCTATCGATTTTAAGGTTCTCTTCACCTCAGTCCATGATTAACCACGATAATCTGTAAGGACCTATAGCTCAGTTTGGAAAGAGTATAAATACAAATATGTAGAGTGCAAAACTCAAGGTACCTTTGTATAAGGCAATTTATTAAATCTCAGGGTATATTTGACTCTTTTACCCTAAAATATATTTAAGGTATTAGAAGGCCAAAATACTATAAATTAAAGGATCATTTACTAAAACACTCCTTGTAATTTCATCAATTTATTAAAACCTATTCTATAGTTTTTGTTTTACTGAAACACCCCCAATGACAACCAATTTACCTATGGTATGTTTGCTTTGATGGAAAATAAAGGAAAAGAAATAAAAAGGTAGGGAAACCTTTAAAAACCTTGTATAGGTTTCTCTGTATTTCCCTACCTTTTCCTTCAATCCAAACACAGTCTTAATTGACCTTGTATGAATAATTCATCAGAAAGTACCAAGTATCACAATTCACCAAGATAAGTTTAAGCTCAAAAAACCGACGGAAATCTTACCAACTTGTTTGAATTAATTAAAAAAAAATGCAATATTTCTTCCCGGCATCATAGTCGAATTAAAGCAGTACTGGAAAGTAAGGCACTGGAAGAAACTTTAACCAATCACCAAACAAAACCATGTGAATTTTGATGGATACCATATCTTTTCCCAGCTTCATCTGCCGGGGGGGGGGGGCACCATCAATATGTGGTTACAATTTTTATGATAGGTTCTTTCGTTATAAGTTTTTTTAGTATCATGCCTTCTGCAATTTTTGCGAGTTAAGGTTGGGGTTTTGTCAAAATTTCAAGGATCCAATTTAAGCCCGAGCCCAAAACAGTATAAACTGTTAACTCAGGCCAATCCGACTTCGGGGGGAGGGGGGAGGGGGGGGGGGGATTATTGTATAGTGAAAAACAAAAGCATGCAAATTAAACAGTGGATATATATACAGACCTTAACATTTCCGGCTTGTTTGATGGCATCAACAAGCTTAAGCTGCAGTAGAAGATTGTGGCTCCTGAAATGCACACCAGACATGGTGGAAATTACCACGTCAACTTGTTTGACAGCATCCACAAGGCTTTGGTGATCAGAGAAGGAAGCAGAGATGAGAAGCGCCCCCTGCTCCTTGAAACTCAGCAGCATCTGGAGCTTGTCAATGTCAAGACCTATCTCTGGTCGTTGAAGGACGTAAGTAGGATGGCCCTGGGCTAAGCTTGCCTTCACAATCCTTTTGCCCAGGTACCCAGTTCCCCCTACAACCAAGATCTTTCTCTTCGTCTTCTTTTCCATATTCTCTATTCTCTTTCAGGCACCAAACACTTCAGTAGATGGAGATGGAATAAGCTAGCTATAACCTATTCGGTTTAGCTTAATTAGGTTAGGTTGATTCCTTTACAAATAAAGGAATTAATGTATACATGTGCAGACCTATCTCTCGCCGTTGAAGGACGTAGGTAGGATGGCCCTTGGTTAAGGCTGCCTTGACAATCCGTTTGCCCAGGTATCCAGTTCCACCTACCAGGACCTCGCTCTTTCTTCTCCATCTCCTACCTCCTTTCAAGAACCAAAATAATGACCAAGACAACACTCTTTTTAGTCTCTTGGCTTCTCTCAGTTCAGCCTTTTCTGTTAGGTACCCGTAAGTCAAGCATAGAGACTATGTGGTGGGTGGGTGAGCAACTGATAGACTAAGACAACCCCCGACAACCAGTATTACCCCTGGACCATATACTGTGGGTGTTAATAATAATTAATAAGGGTAAATAATAATAATAATAAGGATAAATCTCTTAAATAAGTTTTAAGAAATCGACTGACTATACCTTTAGATATAATCTTAAAAGTATATACACCCCCATGTTTTTGGGCAATTGACCAAACCCTCTCTTGTCAATTGACATTTCATCACAGTTCATTCATATATGACATCATGTGATGTATAAAATTTCCTCAAAATTGAATGTTACCCCTTTTATAGTCGATTTTACCTTTCATTAATTTTCAAATTTTTAAAATAAAACTCAACATCCACCTAGATGGACATGGAGATAGCTAGAGCTGAGATGACATCCTAAAAATCTAGTTTTTGGGCGCAAAATGATACTTTCCCTTCACATGTTCAATGGTCTTTGTAGCAACAAAGAAGGGAAATGATCCCATGCATCTATTTTTCAGGTTGCAAATGGTTTCCTTAGACATCTCTATTCATTGGAAAGTTTTTCCAACAGAGAAAGTTTGTCATGAGGAGAAGACCAGCAAGATTTTATACAAAATGTTGCATTTGGTCAATTGTCTAGAAAACTTGGGTGCACTTTAAGATAGCTTCTAAATGATAGGGGTGAGTACGTCAATTTCCTAAAATTTAGCGGGTACTGCTCCATTCTTGAAGAGCACATCAGGGCTGATCATTTCCTGCTTCACTTAGAAATTTCTGGGCTGAGGTGCCTCAATTGTGTGTGCAGCCCGGGCATGAATACAAAAGCACCCAATCTCACCATCTCAGCCCAACCCAGAAAAATAAAAACAGTACATTACAATCAGTTAAGGGAAGCAAACATTATACCATTGTCCATTTGAAGAACGATAAGCTATGGATAGTCTTCTCTAAGCAACTAATTAGCAATGTCACTAGGAAGTTGACACACTAAAGTATATATAGGTGATGAAATTTTGTTGATCTATTCTTTTATTGGCCAACCAATCCATCACAACATGGTTTCCTTCTTTTAGAATGTGATAGAATTTCATAAACATAAATAAATCCATTCCTTTAACCTCGCCTATGATGTACAAGATCTTCCACACGATATTATTTCTATTTAAATGAGTATAGTTAAAATATTTTTCAAAATGTAATTATCTTCTCGTTCTTACAATGATGGTTCTTCAAATTTTAAACTTTAAACCTAATCAATGAACTAAGATTAGAGGTGTAAGGTGGCCGGGACGGCCCACCTTTGCAGGCGGTCCGCATTATGGTGGGCCATGCCATGTTGGCATGCGGACCTGGGCGAGCCGTGGCTGCCTGGCCCAGAACCCCTCACAGGGGAAGCCCGGCACGGCCCACAGCGCGAGCCCAGGTTTTCCCGTGCCGTGCCTAGCCACAAGCCTTTATCCTTTTCTCAGACAAGTATTTTTACTTTTTGCTAAATAAAAAATGACAAATGTTTTGAAAAAATAAATCTTAACAACATACAAAATACATGATAAAATAAAAAAATTCAAAAATTTTATTTCATTTGAATTTAATGCTTACAAAGATCATATATGAAGTATTTAAAATCACATTTATACTTGTGGGTAGCAGATCCGAGCCCCTCAAACACTTATTTTATCCATTCACAACTTTTACATTTATACTTGGGTACTTTTAATCACTAATACCCAGTTTCAGCACAAAACTATGGTAGCTTGTTAATAGAATAAATGGAATTAAGATAGAAATAGATCATCTTATCAAATTGCCTTTGATAATAAAAACATGAGTTTTACCTCAAAAAATATCACTATAAAATTTATAAAATTCAAAAATATATTTATAAAATTAAATACAAATTTATCACCTCAATTTCTATTTTTTTTCTAAACCTATTTTCAACTTAATTCTCATATAAATGGGGATAGTTTGTTCATATGGCATAAAAAATGTCCCTTTTTTGTAGAAGAATACAAGAAATGTCAAAAACGATAAAATGGTCACTAAAACATGGTAAATAAATGGAATAAGCGCTTTAGCCCCAAGATTTGGAAAAAAAAAACCAATAACTAATTTTGATGGTTCCAACCCATTATTCATATTCTGTTTATTTTCCAGGGCTGTTTGATCACAACTGAAGATGCTGAATTGAAAACATTACTGCAACTTCAGCAATTGATGAAAGAGCCTTATAGCTAGCATGATTTTATTAGGAGGGGCCATATACAATCAAGGCATATTGGCACACAAAAGAACTAGAACCCAAATTTAATTCTGTTGTGGGTAGAAAGAGATAAAATAACAATATTTAGGGGGCGTTCTTTTTTTTTTTTGGATTTTGAGAGGGGGAAAGTTCCATTGAACAAGAATTTTATGTTCTTTTTTTCAGATTTATGTGGGAACCAGGGAAAGTTTATTTTCCTAGGTATCACATACCCAGGTAATTGATACCCATCTCCTAGGTGGGTAAATAATTTTGTCTCTATTTGGAGGGAAAATTGCCAACACTTGAATGGGACAAAAATGCCCCTTTTAATAATAAATTTTTATGACTATAAAGGTCATTACCTTATTTACCTGAGAAATAAAAGAACAAGGATAAATACACTTACCTAGGTAAGTGTTTCCTAAGAAAAACTTACCCCTATAATTGCATTTACCTAGATAAATAACTTACTAAGCGGGGGGCCTTAGGAGTAAAAAAAAGAAATAATCCATTGAAGAAGATGATGGTTGATAAGCTACTAGAAAGTGTGAAGAAACCAATCATTCTCACACACTTTTGTAACTACTAGTGCCAAATGTTGTTTTGTCTGATGATTAGAATACATGTCTAGAAGGATCAAACATGGATAAAAACAGGACAAATGAACAAAGAAAAAAAAAGGCAGAATGAAAATTATTATTTCCAATCCCGTAGCAAACATTGTAGCTGTTTTCTTGTTTCTGTCATGTTTTCTACAGATAGCGTTTCAGGTATTCATGCACTCTGGTGTAGTTGACCTCCGGATACAGCTTTGAAGCTTCTTCTTCTTCTCCTATATCAAAGTTTGTTAAGCAACCCTCGTAGAAGATGTGATAGAAATGCCCCACTCCCACTTGATTTGCATAGTCTAAATCTGAAATTAATCAAACAAATGCACGTACGTTGAAAACAGGTATATATGCTTAATTGGATTAGGGTTTTGTGGTTAAGTTAAACATTAATGGATTTGAGTCCCAGTTCTCTATTCAACCATTCGACCCGGATGGTCAGACCGGTGAATTTGATAACCAGGTTATAATCCCAGTTCTCTATATAACAGAAAACTATTGACTCGGTTGTTGATCCAATGATAGAGTTGAATCATTGATTAACTGAACCATTAATGGGGTTGCTATAATTTTTGAAAATTTCTATAGTGATATGACTTCAAAGGTTAACCTAAGTCTATTACCAATTTGCCATGTCAGGTTTTGGTTGGGCTGGATTACCATAGCCTTTGGGCTAATCTAGACCAACTTTCCCTGTCTTCAAGGTTCAAAGTATTGATATGTATCGGTCCATATCGGCCGATATGTATTATGTCAAAGCCTTTCTGATATGCCCTTACAGGGAGTGTTTCAGTTCAGAAAATGGTTCAGGAGTAGACAGGCCTTAAACTAGAACCCTTTGAACCAGATTCGAAAAAAATTAAAAAAAAAAAAAAACAAAGAAAAATAGTACTGATACAGGCTGATATGCCGATATATACAGGCCAATATGCCCTATCGGCATATCGCCCTGTATCAATACTTTGAACCTTGTCTGTCTTGCTTGCTTTTCCATTGCTGTTGTGGCAAATCAGAGATGGAATTAAGTTCAGTCCGCTAGTAGGCCCAACCCTTGCCAAGCCCATCCACCATAATCCCTAATTTAGGAATACCAATGCAAGAGTAGGACATGAAACCAAGTTCAGCTACCACCATAAAGAAAAATCTTGATTACTGTTTCGAAAGAATGAACTAACTAATGATGATTAGAAAAGGGGATTCAGATCCCAATATCGGATCAGTCCAGACTTAATGGTCCAAAAGTATCTGTTGGATTGGATTGGACCTAGTCCCTCTGTAATGGATTTATATTGAATTCGGTTGGATTGAACCAACATCTAATCAATTGATAGAAAATAAGAATACAGGGGTAAATGAAGCAGGTTTGGGTTGGAATCAATTTGAACAGAATAGGTGGTCCAAACATTACACTGGTCCAAAATATTCTCCAAATTGGGTTGGATCTTGTCCATCTATAATGAATTTATATTAGACCAGGTCGGAATAGACTAAGTCTGGTCCAGGCTCAACCCCCAAATAGATGTTGGTGCAAACCGGTTCGGCATGTTCATATCATACGTATCACAAAATAGTCAAATTCCACTATGGGCCTAGTTAATTTAAGTTTGAGTACTTTACCTTTCATGGAAGCCAGAAAATCTTCTGCAGATATGCTGGATTTTCTTAATTCTTTGCCAATTAGTTTCTCCCAAACTCCAACCAACTCTTTCTGTGAGAGGATGTTTTCTGGTGGCCTAATGTAGATCGTCTTGTTCAGTGTACGCGGGTCGTCTACAGCTTTAATGGTGTATGTTGCAATGTCATCTTCATTTACATAAATTGCTGAAACAAATGGCGAAAGATAGTTAACTAGTTTTACACCTTTATGGGCCTTCATATGTATATATACGTATGTATGTTTGTTTGTATGTATATATGTTTGTATATATGTATGTATATATATATATATATACCTTTTACATTGCCATCTCCATATAAACGAATGCTTTCCACAGGAGGAATGAGTGTTCCGAGCTGTGATAAACTCCCCACAAAATAACCAGCAAAGCAGTTGGAAGAGACATAGGTGAAGGGAATTCCGGCATTCTCAATTGCCTTTCTCACTGTCATCTTCTCGTCGAATGTCACTCTTCCTGGTTCTAGTGCATGTCCCATCCGTGCTGGATCTATGCCAAACTCTGATGGCAAAAACCGCTGCAAGAATTTTTTTTTCTCTGTAAGTATCTTTCATAACAAGTAAAATCTATGGTCTAAATAGAGGTGTGTGAGAATCTTCAATGAGGTTTATTATATATATAAATATATATACTGGTTAAGTAGTGTGTGAGATAGTCAGAGAGGAACATAAATGGACAATACTTTCAGGATGGTTGCCTAGACGTGAGGCCGGCTAAGCCAAGGCAAGTATGGGCATGTAGTAAAGATATGCACCCATGTAACTTTTGACAATTGTTTGATTTTCTGCCACAAAATGAATGAATCCAACGGGCTTTTTGTCCTTTTCAAATAGGAGAAGACATAAAGAAAGGTCAAAAAAATCATTTGTGAAAAAGCTCAAAATGGCTTTTTAGCTTTTCGTTGTACAAGTGCAACTTGGGTGAATCAGATTGAATTTTTGTCAAAATTTGACCTTGCTCAAAACATTGTAAATTGCTAACTTCATGGGAAAAGCTATTTTAAACCAAAAAGTCGACGGCCAACCTAACACTAAATTAGGACTTTTTCAAAAAGTGTTATTTTCAAAAGTACTTTAGGTCAAAAAGCACTCCCAAATAAAGCCTAATGAGGTTTTAAAACAGTTCCCAATTATTCATAATAAAAGATAGAAGTATATATAGGTTAATTAGTTAAATATAATATACTTAAACATACCCAGTGATTCTTACTTTCCAAAACTATTTAAATAGGTCTCCTTGTCCTAGTAGAGACTTGGGATCACCTAGGTTGGGAGATGGGCTACCCCCATTATATAACCCTTCGAAAGAACTAAAAAGAAAAAAAAAAGATTAATTGAAAATAATAAAGGACAAAAATGTCCTTGACTGTTCATTAAATGTTTTGAACATGGGTTCTACTATGATATAAAAAAGATATGATATCCGAAAAAATAACTGACCAATAAACCAGAATCATAAATGTGATAGTGGATATGGTGTTATTTATCAAAATTCATGGATGAATTTTGATTGATCAAAATTCTTTTCATACCATATCTTTTCTGCATCATAGAGTTTTTCTTTGAACATAATTGTTATACCAGAAAAGAATCATTATATTACCAATATAAATATATAGAGTGCAAAACCTTGTATTTTATATTATTTTGCATATATTTATACTATTTTATATTATTGTGATTTTAGTTTATATCCGATATAAATTTAATGGATACGATCCAATTTCAAAAACAAATAAATCAAATTTGGATCCATTTATATATATGTAATTCGATTCGATCTATTTGCAATCCTACAAAGTAAATACAAAATGAGACTGAAACTTGCATTTTCAGGCTTGCCAGTCTAAGGTTTGAACAATAAACAGAAAAAAAATGGCCTCTCATCCATCCTACACAAATGTAGAAATGGGTCTTCAGTTGAAACTCTATCCCTCAATCTTCTAGATTCTCTTAGATTTATCTTGACTTTTTGGATTAACAGCTGTAACCATTTGTCTAATATTTGAAGGCGAAAACCTATAGGCTGTAAAATGAAATAACATAAAATAGGGAACCCCATATCTAAAATGGGTCTTCAGTTGAAACTCTATCCCTCTATTTTCTAGGATTCTCTTAGATTTATCCTGACCTTTTTTGGATGCTCGAAAAGAACCCCGTTGGTCTGTTATAACATAAATAATTCGGAAAGATAAGAACAGGTTTCTGAATTCCACTGCGATTTATAAAATAAAACCTAAAATAATAAAATTAGTTAATTGTTGATTGATTGGTTAATGGAAGGTAGCTTATCTTATGAATAAAAGTAATGTTTTCAATTCGCAGTTGATCCGGTCATTTGAACTGTTATAACCGTCATTTAATTAGAATTTTGGGTCAAATAAAGTCTAGATCCGTTAAACGGTTAAAAACTGTAGACTTGGTCAAGAACCATTTGACCTGGCTGGTTTGACCATTGACCCATTCGAACCATCATCCAATTAGGATTYTGGATCCAATTCAGTTAAGATCCATCAGATGGTCAAAAATCATTGACTTTGTCAAGAATCGTTTGACCTGGCCGGTTCGATCGCTGACCTGTTTGACTCGGTCATTGGGTTGCAGATTGTATACTTAATGTATGCAAGCTTTTGAATGCCATAATTTTGCATTCTGATGTCTGATTGAAGTGATTTTTTTTTTCGATTTAGGGTAACTTTTCAAGATCTATCAATGAGCCTTAGGTGCCTTGTCTTGCTATTTTCGCAAAAAAAAAAAAAAAAATTGACTTCAAATTGCAATTTTTAATATTTTTATAAATAAAAAATATTTAAAAATTGAATTAAAAAATATATATAACAGATTTAGAATATATTTATACATTATTTATTGATAAAATATATATTTATACACACATATATGTGCATATATACACATATATGTATATAAATAAATATATACACACACTTAATATATATATATGATGACATGGCATGGTCTAAACCTTTTAACTCAGTCAGTCAAACCGGTGACCCACGACCCAGAGACAAAAACGGTTCGTCCTCCGAATCAGTTTTTAAAACATTCAATAAAAAGGGTTTAAAAGGAAATATCAAATATCAAAAAAGTCTGGGATATGTTTGAGAGACCTGAGAAAAGATGAGGGAAAATCTGACAAACGTATTTGAATAATTAAAAAAAAGAGAAAATTTCTCATTTCTAAAATATCAGTACAGGAAAGTAAAGTAAGACACCGGAAGAAACTTCCACAGAGCGCCCCACAGAACTCGCGCGGGGGAAGTTACGTCCTGTCCCCGATACCTATAACCCACCAACTCTCCTAACTCTGTTGATCACAGGGTTTAATCTCAAGACTCTATATATTACGGTCTATGGGTTATTTGATTATAAGTTTTTCTAGTTTCATGCCTTTTTTTTCGGGTATAATAGTGGCACTGAAAAGGAATATATGTATTAGAATGAAGAAGACGATGATTGTATAGTGAAAAACAAAAGCATGCAAATTAAACAGTGAATGTATACATACAAACCTTAACGTTTCCGGCTTGTTTGATGGCATCAACAAGCTTAAGCTGGAGGAGAAGATTGTGGCTCCTGAAATGCACACCAGACATGGTGGAAATTACGACGTCAACTTGTTTCACAGCATCCACAATGCTTTGATGATCAGAGAAGGAACCAGGGATGAGATGCGCCCCTTGCTGCTTGAAACTCAGAAGCATCTGGAGCTTGTCGATGTCAAGACCCATCTCTGGTCGTTGAAGGACGTAGGTAGGATGGCCCTGGGCTAAGCTTGCCTTCACAATCCTTTTGCCCAGGTACCCACTTCCCCCTACAACCAGGATCTTGCTCTTCGTCTTCTTTTCCATATGTATTCTCTATTCTCTTTCAGGCACCAAACACCTCAGTTAATGGAGATGGAAAATGTCAGGCTCATGCCTTCTTATATATATACATGAAAAGCTACCGCGGTTTGGTTTAGCTTTATTAGGTTAGGTTTTGGGTTGCTTCCTTTACAAATTAAGGAACGTATGTACTCCCCCCCTCTGTGTGTGTGTGAAGAAATTGTCTTCAGTGCCCCTCAGCAGCACAGTGAGTTGGTGCATGTGGGAAGTCAATCTGAGCCTCTTGGTATTTCGTGCTACACACATTACAAGGGAATTGGTGGTGGGGACCAAACACGAATTTATCAAATATTGGGATTTTTTTTTTTTTGAGTTTGTACAATTGAAAATAGTGGTAGACGGGATTTGGAACAATATATATATATATAGAATTAAAACCAATAAATATTTCTGAGGGGAGCATACCATGAATTTCTCTAAATTATATCAACTATAAATGAGTCCCATTGAATCAATACCGGTTCAATCTTGACTCAAACTAGACCCTAACTCATTGACAGCACTAGGTAGAGATGTACGATGCATATCTGTGTCTGGTTTCATAATTTTGTATATTAACGCATATCTTTTGTTGTTTCCACTGCTTGAAGTGATTGTTACGACCACGAAGAAACGACGAATCCCAACTACGGATATATAGGAAATCAAAACTGCTAAGGGCATTCCATTCAGCGTAAGCATCTGGATAATTTGGAATGCGATGTGACATACCCAAAAGCCCTAAGAAATGTGTGGAAAAGAGGGTCGGATTAACCCTCAAGGCTGAAAGAAGGGATCCAAAAATGGATTTGACCTAAAGTTTCAGGGTATGTCCRACCAAAGATTTTACCCACCCAAGAGTAAAAATTAAAAATTTTAATTATAAAAACTAAAGTAGAGTTATAATTATAAAAATGAAATAAATAAATTGAGATTTAATTTTTCCAAAATTTTAATAAAAACTGAGAATAATAAAAATAATTTATTTTATCCACCTTAATGACTTATAAATTTATATATTTTATTTTACATATAAATTATATGTTAAAAATGAAAACATATTTATTAATTGAAAAATATAGCTATTACTTATATAAAAATGCTAAAGAAATAAAATTTCCCAAAAAATCAATAAATTTTGAAAATTATAAAAATAATTTACTTTACCAACCTTAAATAATTTATACGTTTTATTTTATAATTATATGTAAAATAAAACAGTTATTTGTTAAAAATGAAAACATATATGTTATTTTAAAAATAGAGCTATTATTTATATAAAATACTAAATAAACAAATAAATTTTTCCAAAAATAATAAAAAATTATAAATTATAATTATAAAAACTGAAATAAAGTGATAATTATTGTATGATGCCTACATTTTCTAGAATCATAGTATTGTTGACTGTAATGTTTCTCTCCATACAACCTATTAAAGTGTGTATTTCTCATGTATATATACCTTATTCAAAGATATTCAAAGATAATTTTATCCTTGATTATGTCATGAGATGTTAACATATTTCTAATTTTCTACACAGGCAGAATTGCGTAGGAGAGAAGGTGATAGGTTTGTTGTGGAATCTAAGTCAAGCATGGACCGAAAGGGTGGGTCCAGATCTTCTAAACATGCAACACATGGCAAATTGTAACTGGTCATATGATATCGTTGTATGATAATCTCAAAACAAATATAATATATTTAGGGTCAGGTTGGTGAGTCGGTGGGTAGGTGTGCGCCTTATAAATCTAAAGTAAATAAATAAAATAACATAAAATGAAATGAAAATAAAAATTAGGGCATCTCCTACCACTCTAATGTAGCTTGCAAGGGTTGTTGTAAAAACATCAGGGCGCCATGGAAATATTGATTTGACAGATCCAAACCATCCTTTCCTGTGTTTGGTTGTAATATAAATGCAAATATGTACATTGCATATTTATCCTCTTTTCCGTTCAAGAATGTAAATACGATTCAGATTTTAAATGCTCTAATTACTTTATGCTTCAATGCCTTAACTTTGGTTAAAAAATGATTATCAAAAAAATACAGAATTGTATCAAAAAATAAGTACAGTAATACTCTTTTTACAGAGTACAAAAATGTCAGAAAATATATTTTTTATCTGATAATCATTATTTGTTTACATGTCAAACAAACACTTATAAACGCGAATCGTAGTACATAAAAACCCCAGTTCGGCATTTATATTACAAACAAAAAAACCTTAAATTCAATTTAGAAAAAAATACAAATATAAATGTGCATTACAAATATATACAAAATATAAGGTTTTGCACTCTATATATTTATAGAATTAGTTGCATACAAGAAGATCAAAATTACAAGTATTGTTCGAATTTTTCCAACTTGTCACGTAGCAGCCTCCTGAGTCATTTACAAACATTTGACTATAAATAACCTAAGGTACGTTTTTTGGGTGTTATATCACATCATAGGGCATGTTGTTTGGTTAACTAAATAAGCTAACTAGCAGATCTGCTTTGATGATGACGATGACAGGGATCAGTTTGGATGTGAAATGTCCAATTTAATATCCCATAAAACAAAGGACAAATTACACATAGGTACATGTATTTTGGGGGATAGTTAAAGCTGTAACTGAATTGAGTTCTAATCAAAGAGTTCGGGTTTGAATTTGATTAGGCTCGATTAAATTTTGATTCTAATCGAGTTTGAATCAAGTTTGAATTTTAAAATAAACTCGATTAGTTATTACTCGACAACTTGAAAGTTTGGCTGAATGAATATATATATATATATATATATTTATTTATTTATTTATTTATTTTTGAATTTTTAAAGAGAACTCAAACTTATTAAATATTTAATTGAACCGAGCTTTATCGAATTAGAAAATTAATATAAGTTTAATTAAACTCGAGCTCAAACTCTAATCTAGTAGTATTAATTTAAACTAAGATATGCCAAAATTCAGCTCCACTCAACCCAATTGCACCCCTAGGGGTAGTGACAGATAAGTGTCCTAAACTTTCAAATGAGACACTTAAAAGTACCCCAAACTCTCATAAATAGGCAGTTTAGTACCTTTTACTTGGGAGGTATTGATATATACGATCAATTCAGTGCATTGTTTGAGCCAATGAATGACATTATTTTCTCATTGGACTAATTAATACTTAGCTGACAACAAAAAAGTAAATATGTAAGATTGGAGCTTTCAAGAGTTCAGTTTCTGYTCTTCTTTGAAAGAATTAAAGACGGTGGCTCTTTTTAGTCTTTTTATGCCTAGTGGTGGATATTAACCAAGGGCTGTTTAGTGTAATTTTTGGGAAGATCTTCTGATAGTTTTGACAGTTAAAAGATGTATTGAGCTCTTGCATGAAAATTTGAGTAGCCCGAATCACATTTGGTAGATGTACGTCTTTTCGTGCATCTTTCTGTGTCTTTCCGCATGAGAATTAAACGTGAAATACGTGAAAAGCTTTATTTAGAGTTTCTTGAAATCAGTCCAAAATGGGCTTTTTGCGCCTTTTCAGCACTCCGACTTTTGGCGGCTAGATTTTCTGCAAGCCAAACGGAAATAGACCAAAAATTGGTCTGCCCGACTTGTAAACAACCGAAAAACCGCATGGAAAGATGTGCCAAACGGGCCCCAAAATTTTCAAAACTTGGTCTAAACCAAGCTTCAAGCCAAACTTGAACCTAATAAAGCTTAGTTTGTGAAGCTCAAGATCCTAATTGAACTTATATTATATGTAATACTTTTAATATATATATATATATATATATATTWTTTTTATGTTAGCTAACTATTAAAATGGAGCCAAGCCAAAGACATATGAGCTTTTGAGTAAATTTGAATTTGAGTTCATGTTTGTAGCTCAAACTTGGGAGCTCAAACCTAATGTTTTGTTGCTAAGCCAAGCTGGAATAATTAGAGACTCAGCTCGCCTTGAATCCAACCCTATTTATGCAAAAAAGGGTCATACTATCATTTCTTAATTATGGAGTGTTGGTAAAATGACCTCATATCGTGCTGTAAAATTTGACATTTTAGGTAAAAATAGCAATTTGTATCAATCCATTCAAAATTTTTTCAAAACATTTTAAAATCTCTCCCTCTCTCATAAATTTGTATTGATCAATCCAAAATACAACGCAATTCAATGTCACTGTACCAAATATCCTCTTATTAATTACTTGATACCCTATTGGTTTTAATATAGAAACGGTAATACCGATTATTTGAGTCAATTGATTGAATTTCTCACCACATATGTTGTATCCTGTTCGCAGCCTTGCATTTTTGTCTATTTTCCCTGAATTTCTCTCAGAGCTATTCTTAGAGTCGTCTCTGATGATGCTTTGTTTGACCGATTTTGAAGGTTTAAATGAAAGGTATGCCTTAGACACGGGTGGATTCTAGCCGAGCCAAGTCGAATACTTAGCTATTCGAGCTCGGCTCGCTGTAACAGTGTTAGGCTCGATTTCGAGCTCGAGCTCGGCTACAATTCAAGATTTTTTTTCTAAAAAATAAAAACATTTTTATTTTACATACAAAAAAATAAGAATTATAAAAATTATTTATTATATATATTTATATATTTATATATATGTATGTATGTATATAATAAAAAATTATTTATTTATTATACTAGGCTCGCGAGCCTCATGAGCCGAACTTCACTGGGCTAGAGCTCAGCTCGATTAGCAAATGAGCTTATCAGGCTTGAGCTTGACTTAAACCTCAGATTAAACCAAGCCGAGCCAACCTTTTCACGAGCCGAGCACGAATAGCTCATGAAAAGCTCGAGTCGTGACCACTCCTACTTAGACATTCAAAATAATAATAATAATAATAATAATAATAACAACAACAACAACAATCGATTGGCATCAGTATATGGAGCTAAGGGTTAGGGGTGTCCATGAAAAACCAAAAAATCGAAATACCAAACTGGAAAATGCGGTTAACCAAATCGATCGGTTCAATTTCAGTTTGGTATTTTTGAAAAACTAAAGGACTAGTTCGTTTTTTGGTTAACCTACAAAA